AAAATACGATTCCGTATATCTTCTGTATATGTAGAAAATACGATTCCGTATATCATCTGTATATGTGGAAATACGAGTCCGTATATCCTCTGTATATGTAGAATATACGGTTTCGTATATCCTCTGTATACGTAGAAAATACGAATCCGTATATCATCTGTATATGTAGAAAATACGGTCCCGTATATCCTCGGTATATTTATAGTATACTAGGGATAACAACCTTAATATAGTCCGTATACGGGATTTTATTCTCCGTATACTTCAAAAGTACGAACAAATATACGTACATGTATATGGGGCAAATACGGAATTCCGTATATGCCTGATGCATATACGGACTTCCCGTATACCCGGTGTTCCCTATACGGACTCGTATACTTGGTCCGTATATTCGACGAATACATCCCGTACACGCCCGTATATGTCAAGAATACGGGACCGTATATTCCCGTATATCAGTATATTTTTCGCAGTGTTCACAGTTTAAAATAATATTCATCCCATGATAAACATATAAATATATTTTAACATTATTCAAATATATTTTGAACATTATTCAAATATATTTTAAACATTATTCAAATATGTTTTGAATATTATTCAAATATGTTTTGAATATTATTCAACAAGTGCCCAATCAAAGGCAGCCAATTACAATATGCATGAATATAGATTAACACAGTACTATTAATAATCATTTTTTAACTCTGGTATATATTTTTATGACAATAACTCATAATATTTAAAAGAAATGACCTATTCAACAAGCTGATGTACAAACAAACAATTATGTTGACATATTTATCATTCGACCAATGTAAACTGGAAAACCTTACGGCCAAGTCCTCTTAGTTCAAGCGAAGGAAGTTTGACTGTATAATGTAATGATCACATGCTTCATCAAACTAACTAATTTTATGAAAATATTATAATCTATTTACAGATTTTAGCCTGCGCACCATCAAATATTGCTGTAGATAATCTTGTAGAGAGACTCGCTCGCAGTAAACATAAAATTGTACGTCTAGGTCATCCCGCCAGATTGTTACCTCACATACAGAAATATTCACTGGATGCTATCCTGTCTACGAGTGATGAGACCAAACTAGTAGAGGATGTGAGGAAAGATCTTGATAAAACTCTGGTATGCAATTTTCATTTGGGTCAGAGATTATTTCATTTGGGTCAAAGATTATTTCATTTGGGTCAAAGATTATTTCATTTGGGTTAAAGATGATTTCATCTTGGTCAAAGAGTTCAAAGATTATACCATTTGGGTCAAAGGTTATTTAAAATAAAAATTTGTGTCCAGCCGAGTTTGAAAATTCAATGTTCGATTGGTAGGTTTCATATACAGACTTTAGATAGGTTTTCTTTGAAAGACTAGTTTTCAGATTCATGTTTAAAATGATTCATAAAAGAGAACCTATTTTGTTTTGGAAAAATTAATGTTCATTTGACAACCTGAAAGGGGAATAACTTTGATCAATCAATACTGATTTTAATTTTTGAGTTACTTCCCTTTATTTTTCTCAGCTTTTCATTACATACAAGACTGTTATGCCTGTGTTTGGAATACAATGTCTGATTATTGGTACATTGGTTTTTAGCTCGATAATTTGAAGAATAGGAAGAGCTATTGTACTTACTCAGGCATCTGCTTTATACTTCAGTTAAATTTTTTTGTACAAGCTGGTGTCTCCAAAACTAATGATGGGAATGAGTCGAATCCGCACACACTTAAGTGCAAAATAGGAGATCACTGTCTAAGGCTCATAACTCTAATCTTGATTTTGACAGAATTTTTTCAAAATTCTACATTATCCAGGCTCTTGTTTTACTATCAAGCACTTAGAACAGTGGATCATGCTGTCCTGACAGCTCTTGTTATAATATGCTTTTTAGTAGAAATAACACAGTGTCAGAGGTACACAGTCATGTTAAGGAAAAATTTAAGGATACAGGAAGCACAAACAGTAAAATAAATCATGACTCTAGTCAAAAACAGGTTTGATAGACCAATAAATAACTATATTCTGATAGCTTGATGGTAGTGCTGGAAACTGGACATTAATATTTAAATCATGTTATTTGTTCATTTGTATTTGGTAAGATATTATTTTAAATGGGATATATTAACAATGTAACTGGTGTATTGATGTAATGGAAAAATGATAAATAGGTACTAAATTTGATGTAACTTTATCATTATTATTAATTATTTGCGGATGACATTGATTTGCAAAAATGACAAATATACCCACGTCACAAAACTAACCACTTATACAGTATTTCCTTTCATTATTTATTTTGTAATATTTTAGTCAGGACTGAAGAAAGCTAGAAATAAAGGTGAAAAACAGAAACTTAGAGAAGAGATGAAATCTTTGCGTAAAGAACTACGCCAGCGTGCGGACGCTGCCACTAGAGACATTCTGAAACGAGCAGATGTTGTATTGGTTACCCTAACTAGTGCTACAGATGATGGACCAATGAAATTACTGGAAGAAAGTCATTTTGATGTGACAATTATTGATGAAGTGTCACAAGCTATGGAAGCAGCCTGCTGGATCCCGCTTTTAAGAACAAAGAAATGTATTCTAGCCGGGGACCATCTACAGTTACCTCCTACAATACTCTCAAACGAGTAAGTTATATTTTTCAATGTTGCTCAATAAAATGAAATATGGTTATTCTGAGATCTTGAATTTTTTATGTCCCCATTTAGGAATGTCACACTGTTTTGCTGTCAGACAGTCGACAGACCAGAAGACTATTAAAACAGTTGAATGAGGTGGTATCAGTGTCCCATGAACACATTTCTAATTAGATTATTTCTGACCCACCATTGAAAAAAGATAGGAAAATAATGATGTGCTCATGTACAGCAATGATTGTCTCAATGATATCTTAATAATATTGACACATTTTTATGGTCCAACGTTTGATAAATTAAGGGTTGTTGTTACTATTTTATGGGCCAATTTAGGGGCCTAGTTGTTTAAGTTTTTGTATTCAAACCAGTTGCACCTTCTCCACTGTGGGTTTCAGACCTGCAATTCTGTATTCTGTCATCTGAAGTAGCAATATATTCCACCATTTTATGGAATTTTGCCCCCCACTGACACAGTCTGTGTTGATGTGACGTAAAACCCAGCCAAAACGATTATTAAAAGATATGGGCTAATTTGCTTCAGTTCAAACTCTGTATGTGTTGCACTTTGTTTATTTAGATAGGCCTTATTTTGATTCTCATGTTTTCATGTAAATATTTGCCATTTACATTAATTGCATATATTACTGTTGTAGAGCTGCTAAAGAAGGCCTTGCTGTGACCTTGATGGAACGTGTCCTTGACCTTCATGGTGACAAGGTCATGAGAATGTTGACAACACAATACAGGATGAATGAGAAGATCATGCAGTGGTCATCAAAAGAATTGTACGAGTCCAAATTGATTGCTCATGATTCTGTTAAACATCATTTGCTGAGGTAATTAGTTTAATTTAAATAGATAGGGTATCTCTGATATGTTTGGGGGTGGGGGCCAAGGTCAAAGGTAACAAAGACTAGAAATTTATTGGGGAAGAATGTACTTTACTGGTATGCATGCAAGAAATGAAAAGATGGAGGATAGGTTCTTTCATGTACTTAATATGATTAGGAAATAAATTCCTTCATGTACTTAATAATAAGTACCCTCATGTTTAATTATACTTGAGATCTGAAACTTCTTAATACACTGACATTCTTATTACGAGAGCACCTACAGTACTTTGATTTTTTTCTCAATTAGGGATATGCCAGGTATTACTGATAACGAGACAAGTTTGCTACCATTGTTGTACATAGACACTGCTGGTTGTGACCTCCAGGAACTTGATTTGCCTGAGGAAATCTCTAAAGGAAATGAAGGTACTTTTTGTAAAATAACACCCTTCAGTTACAAGCTATAATTTTTGTCTGGTAGCAATCCTGTGACCTATTTTGCATCATTTCTTCTCATCAGCCAATCAATTTAAAAAGTTTTTATTTTTCCAGGAAAAAAAACACTTTATTTAATAGTTGTAGCAAGAGTCTCTCTTTTAAGTTTACTCCTAGATGTTTAATGGTTGTACTTAGTACTGGCTGATAAGGCTGAAAATAAATAAAGTTAGATTGATACTTGACATAATTTTTGTCTGAAGTAGTCTGAAAAATATCCTCTGAATGATAGCTGGAATGATAGCTGAATATTTAAAGTATAGTACATTATGTACATGAATTTAGTTGGAAATTGAAAGTTATTCCTTATTATTTGTTGCTTGACAGTTTGTCTTTATTTAAAATACGGCAAAAATATGAAATTACTGGTATAAGCCTTAACTACTAATTCAGAAGATTGTTTACTTTTCTACAGTATCTTATAATACCATGATTTGTGCTTATGTATATAATGCTTTAACTTTGCCGATAACAGTTTGGAACATGGCCATGAAAATAATGCAGAATGTTCCTTAAAACATGATAAAATAAGAAATAAACCTATTGATTTTTGAAATCATCATTGTTTACTACATCTAGTACTCAAAATAGAGAGAACGAGAGAAAACAAATTGTTGAAAGTTTTAGTGAACACGCTTGATTTATGTTTTGTTAAAACAGTCTAAACACAATAACTTGTCAAACTTCCATTTAATTTATCAGGGAAAGGATTTAAGACTGCAGTTTGGCTTTTTCTCAGAGAAATATTTCTGTAGCTGAAATGTCTTCTTCATGCAATAACTGGTTAACTCCTATTAGATTAAGAAGTACTTAACCTGTTATTGCACTATGATGAAGATTATTGTCTGATGTTAACTGGATGAAGAAAAAGTAATTTGAAAGCTTGGTGTTGTATAGAATATGACATAAGAATAATGTACATGTCTAAAAATACATATCCAAAATTTTTATGCCAAATTAACAACATGCAAAAAATTGAAATAGAAAATGAAATAACAGAAATTCACACCAGCAGTGAGAAAGTGTAAAAATTTATTTAATTATCTACTGGTTTAAAACACATAAGACTCATCATCAGCATAAAATATATATATTACCAAAATCTCATGACTAAAATATAGAAGTTGTGGAAGATGAATGTGACATAATTTTATTTAAGATAGTTACAGAAATTGTTTAAAGGCCCACATGCCACAGAAATGCTATATCAATTTTACTTCTCCAACTCTTTACTTTTATTTTTGGTTCCAAAAATTTTTCTTTTGCCATATAGCTGACTTATCTTTTGCTTCTGTAGGTCTGTTGGCAATTTGTAAAATTATAGTGATTTAGTATTTTGCATGGACGTCAAATACTACTTTGCTTATATTTTGCTACCTTTATGACACATTACTGCATGTTCAGCTTTACTTTCTCAGTTGTTAGACATCTAACATGCTATCAATTTATTTATTAAAACATTATTGAGTACATGTTTCATGAGTTAAACAAATTAAAACTATATGGATATCCGAGGCATAGTGGGCCTGTAAAATTATTTCTTAAACTTCAATGTAGTAACATGTTAGCTGGACTGCTGAGGTTTGTCTGAAATGTGCTAAAATTGACTTAAATATCAAGCAAACTTAATAAATCAAAACATACAAGAATAGTTGAGATTTATTTTGGACAGGTGAGGCAGATATTGTTGCTGTGCATGTTGAGAAGTTGTTGGCTTGTGGTGTACAGCAGGAAGATATTGCAGTTATTGCCCCTTATAACCTTCAGGTACTCCAGTTATAGAAGTAGATTTTTATGCCCCCGCCATGTAATGGCCGGGGCATATAGTGTTACCCTGTTCCGTCATTCCGTCCTTCCGTCCGTCCGTCCGTCCTTCCATCCTTCCGTCCTTCCGTCATTCTGTCATTCCGTCATCATCAGTTTCCGTTCATTATCTTAAGAACGGTTGCACACATTCAACTCAAATTTGACATATGGATATGTCATGAGAAAATACAGGTCAAGTTCGAATTTGGTCATGGTTCGATAATTTTTGGCAGAGTTATGCCCCTTTTACTTTGAAAATAATATGAAATTTCAGTTTCCGTTCATTATCTCCCCAACGGTACAACACATTTAACTCAAACTTGACATATGGATATGTCATGAGAAAATACAGGTCAAGTTCGAATTTGGTCATGGTTCGATGATTTTTGGCAGAGTTATGCCCCTTTTACTTTGAAAATAATATGAAATTTTCAGTTTCCGTTCATTATCTCCCCAACGGTACAACACATTCAACTCAAACTTGACATATGGATATGTCATGAGAAAATACAGGTCAAGTTCGAATTTGGTCGTGGTTCGATGATTTTTGGCAGAGTTATGCCCCTTTTACTTTGAAAATAATATGAAATTTTCAGTTTCCGTTCATTATCTCCCCAAAGGTACAACACATTCAACTCAAACTTGACATATGGATGCGTCAAAGGAATGTGCAGGTCAAGTTCAAATTTGGTCATGGTTCAATGATTATTGTCAGAGTTATGCCCCTTTCACTTTGAAAGTAATATGAAATTTTCATTTTCCGTTTATTATCTCCCCAATGGTGCAACACATTCAACTCAAATTTGACATATGGATATGTTTTTGGAATGCCCAGGCCAAGTTTGAGTTTGGTCATGGTTCAATGATTTTTGGCAGAGTAATGCCCCTTTCACTTTGAAAATAATATGAAATTTACAGTTTCTGTTCATTATCTACCCAACAGTGTTATATATTCAACTTAAATTTGACATATGGATATGTCAAACGAATGGGCAGGTTGGAATTTGGTCATGGTTTGATGATTTTTTGGCAGAGTTATGTCCCTTTCACTTTGAAAATAATATAGATACATCTTAGGAATAAGCAGTTTAAGTTTGAATTTGGTTGTAGTTCAATGATTTAAGACAAACTTATCTTTCCTGAATGTTGGAAAAATTTTGAACTTTCAGTTTCAGCACTCTTACTTTTAGCCATTATTTTGGCTACAAATATGCAATATGCTATTTTTAAAAGGTTTAGACTGAATAATTTCAGTGCCTTGAACATTGTATGAAAATGGTTTGTGTTAACATTGAAAAGTTTTAAGGGCTTTGAACTTAAAATGAAAAAAATAATTAATGCACCATCTGAAATTTTGGCTGCATGCGGGGGCATCCGTGGCATGATGACACATTTCTAGTTTTTAGCTCGACTTTTCTATGAAAAGGGGAGCTATCCTACTCGCCCCGGCGTCGGCGTCGGCGTTGGCGTCACACCTTGGTTAAGTTTTTCGTACCACCCCACTTTATTTCAGAAGTATTACAAGTATGGCTTTGAAACTTACCATACTTGTTCACCATCATAACCTCCATCTACAGACAAGAGTACATAACTCTGTCAAGGTTTTTGACAGAATTATGGCCCTTTTTTGACTTAGAAAGTGTATTGAGCTTGGTTAAGTTTTTTGTACCACCTCACTTTATTTCAAAACCATTGGAGGTATTGCTTTGAAACTGACCATACTTGTTTACCATCACGACCTTCATCAACAGACAAGAGGACATAACTCTGTCAAGGTTTTTGACAGAATTATGCCCCTTTTTGACTTAGAAAATACATTGAATATGGGTAAAATCCACTTATTGCCTTAACCCTTTGAGATATTGCTTTGAAACTTTTAATGCTATTTCACATCATTACCCCCATCTGTACGCAAGAGAAGGTAACTCTGTCAAGGATTTGTTTTAAAAATTAAGGCCTTTTATCGACTTAGAATTAAATTTATTTAAGGCTCAACTCAGTTTTTTTTTCTTTCTTACCAGCCCTCTTTTGACTTAAACATTTCAAACTTTGCTGCAGTGTTCAAGGGTATCACACAATTCAGTAAAATAATTCTTCACTAAATATCTTAATGCTCATGGCCATTGTTCACTTTAAAAATACAGAGATTCTTGTATTGCCTTTTACTGCAAAAACTTTTTTTATTGGCAAGCAATAAAAAAGTCGAGCGCGCTGTCTTACGGACAGCTCTTGTTTATTATTGTCTGATGCTGATTTGGTTTCTGTAGTTTGTTGAGTAGTCCACCTACTTGGTTGAGATGTCCTATGTTTTATTCAGATATGTGAATAATGAAATTGTACCCTACGTCGAAAAAGTCTTAAGATAAGATGGACCTACTGTGCTTTATTTGTTGGAAAATGTGATTAAAGTTTCATTTAATACATTAAAAATTTTATTAAAAAAAGAAGAAGCACAGATTGTAAAACCTTATTTTTTGCTGTTGAAAAAATTATATCTTATAGTGCAATATTTAAACAGAGATAAACCTGGTAATTGTAATAAGGATTGACTACATGACAATTGTTGGGATATTACATGATTTCAGTCATATATATTTATTCAGGATAAAAGTAAATTGTATTAGCAAAACATGATCTGTCATAAATTAAAGCCAGTTTGACAGTATTTTCTTTATTTAATAGCAGTTTAAAGCTTTTGATGTTATACATGTTATACAATATGTTAAAAAGTGTAAAAAGTAATTCTCAAACCTGTAGGAAAATTCTGATAAAGCCTGAAAGTTTTTTTTTTCTTAAGCATTTCTTCATTGTATTCAGGTAGAACTTGTTAGGCTGAGACTTGCCAGTAAATATCCAAAGATAGAGGTTAAATCTGTGGATGGATTTCAAGGCAGAGAGAAGGAAGCTGTTATTATCTCCCTTGTTAGGAGTAATACAAGAGGTTTGTTAATATTGTTTCAGTAATTATCTCCCTTGCTAGGAGTAATGCAAGAGGTTGGTTTACATTGTTTCAGTAATTATCTCCCTTGTTAGGAGTAATGCAAGAGGTTTTTGTGTCCCCACGATAGTGGCGGGCATTTAGATTTACCCTTGTCCGTTCGTCTGTCCGTCCTTCCGTCCGTTCACTTTTGTGTCGCACGTAACTCAAAAAGTATTTGACCTAGAGTCATGAAACTTTACAGGAATGTTGATCAGCATGTGTAGTTGTGCACCTGGGTATTTTCGTCTGGATATTTTTTTAGTATTTTCAGAGTTATTGCCCTTGACTTAGTAAAATTTTGCAATTTTCAACTTGTGTCGCATGTAACTCAAAAAGTATTTGACCTAGAGTCATGAAACTTTACATGAATGTTGATCAGCATGTGTAATTGTGCACCTGGGTATTTTCTTCTGGATATTTTTAGTATTTTAAGAGTTATTGCCCTTGACTTAGTAAATTTTGCAATTTTCAACTTGTGTCGCATGTAACTCAAAAAGTATTTGACCTAGAGTCATGAAACTTTACAGGAATGTTGATCAGCATGTGTAGTTGTGCACCTGGGTATTTTCGTCTGGATATTTTTAGTATTTTCAGAGTTATTGCCCTTGACTTAGTAAAATTTTGCAATTTTCAACTTGTGTCGAACGTAACTCAAAAAGTATTTGACCTAGAGTCATGAAACTTTACAGGAATGTTGATCATTATGTGTAGTTGTGCACCTGGGTATTTTCTTCTGAATATTTTTAGTATTTTCAGAGTTATTGCCCTTGACTTAGTAAAATTTTGCAATTTTCAAATTGTGTCGCATGTAACTCAAAAAGTATTTGACCTAGAGTCATGTAACTTCACAGGAATATTGATCAGCATGTGCAGTTGTGCACCAGGTATTTTTGTCTGGATTTATTTAGTATTTTTAGAGTTATTGCCCTTCACTTAGAAATTTTTTGCAATTTTCAACTTGTGTCGCATGCTACTCAAAAAGGATTTGACATAGTCATTAAACCTAATGGGCAGGTTGCTCAGCATATTTAGATTTGCACCTGGGGTTTCGCTTGTGGATTTATCCAGTATTTGTAGAGTTATTTCCCTTGACTTAGTAAAAAGATTGACTGAACAGTGGCGCGGTGGGGGCACCCGTGTCCTATGGACACATTTCTAGTTTTACATTGTTTCAGTAATTATCTCCCTTGCTATGAGTAATGCAAGAGGTTTGTTTACATTGTATCAGTAATTATCTCCCTTGCTAGGAGTAATGTAAGAGGTTTGTTTACATTGTTTCAGTAATTATCTCCCTTAAATTGTGTTAATAGTAATAATACATGAGGTTTGTTTTAATTTTTGAATGATTATATCCCTTGCTATTGCACACTTCAAAGCATATGTTTTTGTCAAATTCTGCAGAATATTTTCTTAGTATAAAATGAATGGTTTTACTAGAAGAAGCTCACTGAGGTCCAAAAGACTAAAAACAAAACAAAAAAAAATGAAAATCTTAGATTGATCAACTGTAGCTCTTCAAACAAAAATAAATGAAATATAATAAAGAACTGTAATCAGAATTAAAATTGAACATCAATATTTCATAGCCTATCTTGAGATAAATATGTTTAAGACTTTATTACAATAAAAATTATTAATCTGGAAAAGTTCAATGAGTGAAAGATTTGAAATTTTCCATACTGGTCATTGATGTAGACCTACATTAAAGTGTATAAAAATGTTGATATATATTCAGTCCCATTATGGTCAGAGATCTATGTTTATTTAGACATTCAAGTTTTAAATTTTAGGCTAACGGACCTTGATGAAATTCTTTTAACTTTATCATGTTTTGATCAATGACCTGAATAATGATGTCATGTCTATTTATAGGTGAGGTTGGTTTCCTGTCTGAGAGACGAAGAATTAATGTTGCTGTTACTCGAGCTAGGCGCCATTTAGCAGTTATTGGCGACAGCGAGACAGTATGCAAGGACAATTTCCTTTGTACATTGATAGAATATCTTAACCAAGAGTCAGAAGTACAGACTGCACAGCAGTATCTGGATGGTATGTAATACTGAGCAAACAGTGAAGCCACTGTTATACATAAATCAGTTTTAAAGGTATCAGCACAATTTATGATTATGAAGAAGTATGTAATTAAAGCAGCAACATACACCTCTCTGTTAGTGAATATTATTGGAGTGGGGCATATGTGGTTGTTGACTTCAAACCACTAGTTAATCATCACTGTTGGTTTGGATCCCACCAGGGAATTTGGATACTTCAGTGTTAGAAAGCAATCCAACTAGCTTCTGGAATGTTGGTGGTTCTATTCAGGTGCCTTCTTGTGCCTGAAATAATGCACTGAAGGGCATCTGATGTCTTCATCCCAGTAAAGCTAAAAAGTCGTCATATGACCTTTACAGTGTTGGTGTGATGTAAAACCCAACCAGAAAAAGTATTATAGATTTGCATTTGAAATGTACATTTCATTGAGCAGATTTCCCAAATTTTATCTTCAAAGTAATTTTCCTGTGTTGCTGAGTGTTAAAGTTTGATGTCTAACATATGTTTTACATCTGAAACCCTTTACTCAGTGTTTTTGTATGCTCATTGTTTCATGAGAGTAGACTATCTAGGTAGCATACAAAAGGTCAATGATTCTACAAAGGTACCTGCACATGCCTAAAGTAATTCATGAAGGGGGCACCAGCTGTCTATTTCCACCAGTAATGCTGGAAAGTCTTCTTGTTCCATCTAATCTTTGCAGTATTAGTTTGATTAAAATCCTACAAAACAAATAAAGAACAAAGTATTAGAATGTTCCTATTTTTCTGGCAACATATGTCACTGTATGTTCTTTCAGAACTGGAATCCTTATACATTTCATCAACAGTAATAATTGTGTGAGTATCAAATTTTAAGAGAAAGAAATGACTTATATTTGAAGGGATTTTAGAAAAAATTGAAGTAGTTTAATTAACAAAAACACTCTGAAGTGTTGATATTGTCAGTTATCCGAAGATTATTGGCAATTAAGACCTTGTAAATAAAATTAATGTTAAATATGTACATTAATAAGAAAGAAAGTACCTTTTTAGACCCTTTAATTTAATAATTTTCCCCTCTATTTAATACAAAGTTTTTCCCCTTTGTTTTAGATAAAGTTATTCTCCTCTATTTTAGATGGGGTATTACAGCAATGCGATGTAGTTAGACCAGAGCATCTGGACGATCTTATGGCACTTTCAAAGAAACAGGGCTCGGATAAAGGGGCCAGGCCAAAGTCACATAAACAACAAACAAATCCTAAACAGCCTGCTGATAGAAATAAAAAAGAATCTCATCCACATGAAGCTAATAAAAAATTCAGGTAATATTTTTATGATTCTTCTAGACTGAGTTTTAAAACAGAAGCACTTTTGTAGAGGGTTAAAAGATCATTTGGTCGTGTATTAACATTTGTGGAAGCACAAGGATGCATTTGAAGCCAGAGTATACAGGGCGAGGGATTTAATAAGTCTGAGTGTTTCTGCAGATGCTAATACAGGAACAGATGGTGCATTAGTGCTATTCTTGCATAAAAGTATGTTTGATTTTGCAGTTCTGCATGCCAATATTTTGTTAAGGAATAAAGAAACAGGTTTGGTAATGTTTTTCATATGCAAGTTCAATGTCATCTGACAGTTATGTTTTGATAATGAAACTACCAGGGCAATCATTGCGTTAAGCTGTCTTACATGGTGCCTTGGGTTGCACTTGTGTGATTGTATCTGTTAATCCATGTTTATTTCTTAGTTTATGTAACTTGTGTGCACAGTTTTAATGCAAGAATATTGTTTAAATTGACAATTGTTAAATCTGCCTGTTATTTCACTTGTATGATTTTAAATTCCATCCAGCTTTGGGTTTCAACTATGCAAGAAATGTAGCAGTCTTTAATGTGCGACTGTAAAAATATCTTGCTAACTACTTTCAAGATAGTAGTTCTGTTCTAGAGCTAGTCTGTGCTTGAAATACTGTTCATTAAAAACACTCATATAATCATAATTATGCAAAATATGAGACTAAAAAATCTTACAAGGAAAATAAAATAAATGTAAAATAACAGCTTAAATACATATTCAGTAATTGTTGAAACCTTACATTTTCAAACGTCTGCTTACATAATTGTGTCCTTGTAATATTTTTGTTCTTTGTGTGATTGATAGTTGGTTTGTTATGACTACATGTAGTTACAAAATGCTTTCAATACTCTTTTTTTCAAGTTTCCAAATTTTCAAAGGAAATAAAAATTATTAAAATTCTTCATAAACTTCTAAAAAATACAGTCTTTTATCTCCAGTGCATCATACACTTTATTATATGCCCGAAAGGGCATATTATGTTATACCCCCTGCCGTCTGTCTGTCTGTCCGTCCGTCCGCCCGGACATACCAACTTTTGATATTTAAGAGGTAAATCAGCTCATAAACTACACCTGGACCAAAGTCCATAAGCAAAATCAGCTCATAAAATCAAAAAAATAGCTCTTAATTTGAATTTTATGAGCTTTTGTTCTTTATTTAACTACGGAATGAAGCTCATAAATATCAAATGTTTGCTCGGACGTACGTACGTCCGTCCGTCCGTTAGCAATTTGGTTTCCGGAGCATAACTTAAGTTCCATTCGACCCACAATGTTCAAACTTCATAGGATGATTGTCCATATTGGGTAGAAGACCCCTATTGATTTTGGGGTCACAAGGTCAAAGGTCAAGGTCACTATTACCTTGATACTGAAAACAGTTTCCGGAGCATAACTTAGTTCCAATTGACCCACAATGTCTAAACTTCATAGGATGATTGTCCATATTGGGTAGAAGACCCCTATTGATTTTGGGGTCACAAGGTCAAAGGTCAAGGTCACTATTACCTTGATACTGGAAACAGTTTCCGGAGCATAACTTAAGTTCCATTTGGCCCACAGTGTTCAAACTTCATAGGATGATTGTCCATATTGGGTAGAAGACCCCGATTGATTTTGGGGTCAAAAGGTCAAGGGTCAAGGTCACTATATCCTTAAAACTGAAAACAGTTTCTGGAGCATAACTTAAGTTCCATTTGGCCCACAATATTCAAACTTCATAGGATGATTGTCAATATTGGGCAAAAGACCCCTATTGATTTTGGGGTCACAAGGTCAAAGGTCAAGGTCACAATTACCTTAAAACCAAAAACAATTTCCAGAGCATAACGTAAGTTCCATTTGGCCCACAATATTCAAACTTCATAGGATGATTGGCCATATTGGGTAGAAGACCCCTATTGATTTTGGGGTCACAAGGTCAAAGGTCAAAGTCACTTTTACCTAAATACTGAAAACAGTTTCTAGAGCATAATTAAAGTTCCAATTGGCCCACAATATTCAAACTTCTTAGGATGATTGTCCATATAAGGTAGAAGACCCCTATTGATTTTGGGGTCACAAGGTCAAAGGTTAAGGTCATTATTAATAACTTAAGTATTAATCAACCTACAGCTGTAATATTTTATAGGATGAACAGCGAATCCCCATGTCTTACAAATGCTTCATCCTTACTAAAAAAAAAACACTTTCGGGCATATAATGCTCCGCCTAGCGGTGCTCTTGTGCCATTTGTAATTGCATAGAGAATAGGGAATTTTTGTTTTATGTACAGCTAAACAACTTTTCATTTTCCAGCCTGATCATAGCTGGGTTTTATCCATTTATACACTCCTGCCTAGTCATATCAGCCAAATCTGTTGTCCTTGTACAGTACATATTGATCAAATTTCTACTTTAAATATTTACATTATTTACATAATCTGTAGACTATAAATACAATCTTCTCATAATTTTATCATGTCACACAATATTTATAGGCACGATTTCTCTGAAGAGGCTGAAACACTTCCAAATTGTTAAAGTTAATATATAAGCAATGACCCTTAAATTGCTTTAATTTGAAAATATGGTTCGTGTTCCCTGTCTGATATAAGCAGTGTATATTGATTTCAAACCAAAACAGATTTTGATTTTATTGTGCTCAGAAATGTTGCCAAGACATTCGTTGTGACATTGTTACACTAGGCTGTCTTATGAGTCAGAAGAAAAAGAAAAACTTATATGTATTGCCTCAACAGTTATTTGTGCCTGCTTGTTGGTTTTTATCAACACCAAATCTTTGGACATGTCAGTAGGCCAGATTAAAATTGACTTGACTTATACATTACATCGAGCTTGTAGGTCAAATTTTGAAGTTAGCTTGATTTCATTAACAGTGGATTTTGCAACTCGACCTTGTTTTTGTGAATGGTATGTCTTCATAATTGGACACAAGAACCTTTTAGGATATGACCTCAAAAAAAAAAAATTAAGTTGACTCATAAATGACTTTGACCATAAAAGTTTAAATTGTTAAATTTTGTTAGATTTTTGTTTAATTGAAATTTCACTGTTTTTTAACCATAATTTTGTAACTTATAACTGGATTGTCTTCATACTTAAACATAATCGCACAAAACTGACATGTTGAATATTCAGGTTAGAACTTGACCTTTAAATGACCTTGACCACCTTAGTCAAATTGAAATTTACGTAAATTGAGATAAGATTGTTATTTATTGACTGATGTTTGATACATACTCTGACAATAGAAAAACAATTTAGTGACAAAACCACAAAAGTGACAAAACTGTTATGACTCAATCAAGAATATAAAATCCACTAGAGGGCAGAGCAGGCAGAAGCTTGGTGGTTTTACTCAGGTCCCTTCTCGGCATTACATACTGCACATCCAGGCAGTCGGCTGATGCCCTAAATGTTCATGAACAGGCTCAATCAAACAGAGCCTGCAACATTTTCAATTTTGCGGTGTTTTTGGACTTTATTTAGGAACTCTGTTTTTCTCTATTATACAGTACCAGTGTGACTTAAAATCCAACAAAATAAACAAATATTTATCTGATTTAAATGTATCAACATTCAAAGTCATGTTGTTAAATTATTTTTACTTACCTAATTTAGGAGGAAAATTCAAACATAACCATTAAGACGGTATTAGGCTATGATCATTATAAAACATAAAATTTTGAGACTTAAAATATATGTTTGCATATTTGTCTTGTCATGTACATAAAGGCCAAAAGATATGTATATGTATATAAGTGAAGTGTCTTTAATTTCTAGTAATTGAACGACATCTTTACATCAATATTCCACGTTTTATTACAGCGTTTTAATCAAGTTTAGGGGGAATATTGCTTCAGAAATATTTTCTCTAGAGACTGGTTTGTAAATGTAATTAATCAAGAATATATTGTGAACAAGACACTTTTAATACGTTCAAAATGTGTGGAAACTGGGTCTCTGTTGAAATTGGATTTTTCAAACTGTGAGATGCATTAGGCCAGAAAACTTGAGAGTGTTACAGCAGTAAATAATATCTTTATATAGCGAAACATGTTTTTTTTTTTTTTCTTTTTAATTATGTCACACCCTTTCTAGAATTAAGAGATACTATTTTAGCTTCTAGTTATAAATGGAAATTGTATTTTTAGTAAGACCATTTTTGTCATAAAAGTGCATGTAATTAATTGACCTTATGGGTAGCTATATAAAATTTTCCTCATTTGTAAAATTTTCCTCATTTGAAAAAAAAAAAAAAAAATAGATCAGTACCCATAGAGCCACTTGGTGAATGTCACCTTTTTAGCTTGACTATTCGATAAGAATAAGTAGAGGCATTGTAGTCACCCGAGCGTCGGCGTCAGTGTCGGCGTCTGCATCTGCGTCAGCGTAACCACTTATGTTAAAGTTTTTGTAATAGTTCAAATATTTTCAAAGTCCATTGACATATGGCTTTGAAACTTTGCACACTTGTTCACCATCATGACCCCAACCTGTAGACAGGAGGAGTTAACTCTATCAAGCATTTTGACAGAATTATGCCCCTTTTTCGACTTAGAATTTACGTTAAAGTTTTTGTAATAGTTCAAATATTTTCAAAGTCCATTGACATATGCCTTTGAAACTTTGCACACTTGTTCATCATCATGACCCCAACCTGTAGACAGGAGGAGGTAACTCTATCAAGCATTTTGACAAAATCATGCCCCTTTTTCGACTTAGAATTTACGTTAAAGTTTTTGTAATAGTTCAAATATTTTCAATGTCCATTGACATATGGCTTTGAAACTTTGCACACTTGTTCACCATCATGACCCCAACCTGTAAACATGAGGAGGTAACTGTATCAAGCATTTTTTTTACTATCAAGCACTAAGAATAGTCCAGCGTTGCTTTCCTACCGACAGCTCTTGTTTTTTATCTTTTGAACCTACACCACACCACACCACACCACACCACATCACACCACCCCAACCCATAACTAAAGATTTGATTTTTAGCTCCTCTTTTCAAAGAAAAAAAGTGAAGCTATTTTCATAATCCTCTGGTTGGCATTGGTTAACCTTTTCGAAACTGTCAAAGATATTCACTGCAAACTTTGTACACATTTTTATTGATGTAAAAGGACACCATTTCAAAAGGAAAGATAACTTAAGACATTTAGCCATAGTGAAACCATTTGTAAAGGTCCATTTTCTTACTAGAAATTATCAAAGCTATTCATGTGAAACTGGATATACATGTTCACTATCAAAATAGCTTAACAGTCATGAAGGACAGATAACTTAATAATAATTTGTATTTTAGCAAACAAAATCAAGCTGAGGAAGAAAGTAGGCTAAAAGAGTTGGAGGAAGAAATTGAACTGTTTATTTCTAATCAACATGCAGATGTTTTAGAATTTCCAAGCTCATTGTCTGGAAGAGAGAGATTTCTAGTCCATGAGGTTTGTATGAAATTGATAGTTTTGCTGCTTTAAGTTATTAGATATTTTAAAATTGCATTTCATATAACCACGAAGTTAATTGTATGAAATTGAAAGTTTTGCTTATTTAAGTGATTAGATATTTTTAAAATACATTTCATATAACCTTGCAGTTAATTGTATGAAATTGAAAGTTTTGCTTCTTTAAGTGATTAGATATTTTAAAAATTTCATTTCATATAACTTTGCAGTTAAACTGCCTGCCTCACAAATCAGATTATTGGTCAGAGTCATACCAGATGATAATGATGTATTTTTTGCTTGGCTTTTTGATTAATAGGGAAACATCAAATTTTTAATATTTTTTTGTGCAAGTTGGTATCTGACTGAAAAACTACTGAAAGGAATGGGTACAAACTTCACACACTTGTTTCAGAGCTTAATAGAATGTCACTATCCAAAGCCCATAACTCTAAGGTGGATTTTTACAGAATTATGGCCCTTTTGAATTTAAAAAGTTCTACATTATAATGATTATCCTGGCCTTTGTTTTACTATCAAGTAATGAGAATAGTCAAGTACTACATCCTAGTGAGAGCTCTTGTTTTATGTTACACTGGCGTGAGTTACTAGTAGACTGGATTATACTTAAATGAGTTTATCTGGCATATAGGGACTGGAAATATTTTTTTCAAACAGTTGTTTACATTTGGGATTAGGGTATAAATCAATTATTTGTTTGCGAAATCTCATACGATACATGTATGTTCGCTCTGTTTTACAAGAAAAATCATTGTTATTGAGCAAAATAAACCAGATATGAAGAAAAACATTGAAATGCTAACTCTGGTTGGGCTTTTTTTTAGAGATCAGTAAAAATGTTGATTTTACCTTTTGTTGTTGCTTGAGTTACAACATTATGTATTGATTAGTGACAAAAAGAATTTAGCAATGTAAAAAGCAAGTGCTATTAAGGCATTTTAATAATAATTATTTGATCTATAAATTGGTTTTATGGATAAAAAAGTGACTAATATTGTTTGCTATATTTCACTCCAGATTGCAGAGAAGCATGGTCTTGCGCATACAAGCAAGGGCATAGGTGAAGATAGATTTATTGTGGTAACAAAACCTGGTAAATCATTGTTGGCTGAATCAGATATTCAAAATGATGAAAAGGAAGATGCTGTAAGAAATACTGTTGAAATGGATAACAGACATGTAGATGAGGATATTGATGAAAGTAAGAGCAAAAGAAATAAAAAGAAAAAGAAGAAAAATAAAGAAAATATAGAAGTGAATGTTGAAGATAGCCTTAATAATTGTGGAAATGAAGAGCTAGTTGATGAACCTTTGAACAATGGTAATATATCTGCAAAAGATTTTAATGAGGCAAAGGAATTCATAGGAGCTCCCATTTCTGATGGTAAAATTGTCTGTGGTATTTGTAAAAAGGATGTACTCAAAGCAAATCTGCAACTGCATGAAATTCATTGTGCTAGGAAGGAAAAAGATATGAGAATGAAAAGGGAAGAGGTGGAAGTTAAAGAAAAGCAGAAGAAAGAGGTATCCAAGTCAATCAAAGCACCGGAAATTTGATAAAGAACTAGCAGAAAGAGTGGAAAGGTTGATAAAGATGACATAGATGCTTTGATTGCAACAGTTCAAAATATGGACAACTTTTGCTGTTTCAAGAAGTGCAAAACCAGTGTCCAGACACTGTTTCAAGTATGTTCACATTGTCAAGGAAGATACTGTATGTCACATCATATACCAGAGGTACATGGATGTGGGGAAGCAGCACGGGCTCAAGCCCGAGCTAGAATAAGTAAAGATGGTGTCCTGTATAGAGGTAGTGGGGTACCAGAAAAAAGACCAGATGCAACAAAGAAAGCTCATTTACACAGGAAGTTAGATTCAAAATTAACAGAACTTTCTGCTAAAAGGAAAGGAAAGCCCAAAAAGTGATCTTTTACTAGTCTCTGTGATGATATTTATTTAATTATTAAATCTTTGATGATATTTAATTATTTATTTATCAAATCTATGATTTTCATTTACATAAATATATTTATTTATTGAAAAGAGGCAAAAAGGATTAGTGTAAAAAAAAGTGAAGATGTTGTCATGTCATTGACCGTCAGTTAACCCTTGGTTAACCTTTTTGTTAAGTTCTCATTTATGGTCATTAAAGTCAATGCTTAGTACATTGGAACTACTACTTTGGCAGATCTTGCTATACTCGCAGTAACAAATTCATATGTAAGACATTTTAAATTGAAAGTATGATTAAGCCACCAAGTACAGATTGTTCGTACTAGCAGCTTCATATTTTTGCTTGTGATACCTACTTTTGTCACTTTCTGCCGCATGAATTGTGATATTCTCAGAAAAGAGAACCAAGATGTGAATTGTTGCTGAATAAAATTGTGTTAAAAAGTTTGTCATTGAGTTGTATTTTTTAATGACACGTGTTATTTAATAAGGCAGTTTAACCAGACATTTTTCTATGCATTGTACATATTTTTAATTTATATATCTAGAACAACATTGTATCCTCTATATAAAATAATGTTAAGTGTGAGAAAATCACTTATATTCCTAAAACATGCACTTTGTTTAAGGTTTTCTCTTAAATATTTTGTTGGAAGCGACAATAACTGCTATCTCACCAGAATACAACGTTTCTCTAGCAAGTTCTGTGCATTTCAGATTTTAATTTGCTGATATTTTAAAATGTGTAAGCGATATTTAACTTTTTGTTAATTTGTCTTCAGCCTAATTCGCAATTCATCCATTAATATTCTTTAATCTCATTAATTTTGTTTGACACTGGATTACATTGTTCTCAAAGCACTCAATATTCTATAGGTAGGGGAAAATGTTCTGAAACAGAGAAATTTTTCATTCCAATAAAATCCCAACAGTCATTAACTAAAGATACGGGGCTTACTTTCAATGTTGAAATATTGTGTTCATGCTAGAAATGTGAAAGGGTAAAACCCATAAATTAAAGGAAGTTTTTTCCCGTCGTATTTGAGTACCCTTGTCCGTCTGTCTGTCCCTAACGTCAGTCACAGTGATTTTAAATCTTTGAAAATATTGTTGTCCTTCTTTATACTTTTAAAATGACCAGAAGGGGTCAATAGGCGTGACAAGGTCCCAAAATTTTATTATAGGTGATGGGAAAAGCAAGGGATATTGGAATAAATTGTACAATTTTCCGTTTTTTAATCAATACCCAAAAATTTTATATTGAAAATTTTTTAATTTTTTAAGACGAAATTGAACCCAAATTTTATATAATTTAACCATTAATTTTATGCAGTAATTTTTGACTTTCCCCACGGATTAAAAATTTTACTAAAATTTTTAATGTTAAACAACTTGTTATACTCATATTTGAATTAATTTTTTTTGGGTGAAAATCTGCAGGACTGTTAAGTTGGAAGTTTAAAATTATGCGTAACAATAACATTTACATTGTATCTTCAGTATGAACAATGATATACAATGATCTCGTCTTGACTTAAACATACATTTGAAGGAACAAGGAACAAAATCAGAACGTAAAATTGAAAAAAAACACATATACATCACTAGTCTATGTATGGACAGATGTTGCCTCATGAAAAAGTCGAACATAGGATGCCCATCATATAAACTCAAAGGGGCAACATACTACTTTGCATCACAAGACTATTAGGCGGAAAGTGATGAACTTTCAATACTCTCATTAAAATCTAGGTGTGTCTTCAGACTATGAATTGTTTTATTTATATTCATTTATGAAAACAATGAGGTATCAAATAAAACAAAAAAACTTCAAAACAAATGTATATTGTTTGCAATTAAAAACCTTTGTTAATATAGGGTATACTTATATTATATTAATAGTTTACGTAGTTTACTATCACATTAATGACATTGTCATTTGAAATAAATCAGAATTGAAAGTATTTCAGTAAATGTTATGAAAGCACAAAAACACCATTTTATACGCAAAGATCAGTTTAATAAAGACCAGAGTCGATGGGGAGAAATTTATTTTCGGATAAAATCATTGATAAAATCATGATCATTTTCAATTGGAACATTTGATTTATAGCAAAATAATTTTTAAAATCCTGGGAGCCAGATCTGTTGTCTGTTTTTCATCTAAGAGCAGTATAAAATCGAGAACGTTTGATAAGATAATTTCATAATTTGCTTTTCATCTAAAAGATCTTGAAATTTCATTTTGTCTATAAATTACTTTTCAAGTCGCCGTTTGATTTTAACACAAGAACATTAAAAGAAAGAGACGACGGATATACCATGATAGAGATTTTGAAGTATGATACCAGACTATTTTTAGGGTATGAAGCTGTATCCAGTAAATTGTTTTAATGGAATTCATTAACGATAAAAATTCGTTACTTCCATTATATTATGGTTGATTCCCAAAAAAGTTGTATCATAAAATGTCTCTTGTTATTAAGAACACACGCATATTGTATGATGTCAATAAGGAACATATACTTGAAGTTTTAAGTAGATACCTCAAGACATAAAGAAGTTATTGCAAACAAATACCGCTTTTATCCAAGGATGACATTTTTGATAATATAGGAGCTAGGATTTTGATTATAAATAACATATGCTTTATTAATGTTGAAGTAAATACATTACGAAAATAAAGAAGTTATAAAAAGCATTTCATGACAATTATAAGTTCAAGTGGGTGTGGGGGTGGGGGTGATTCTGATAATTTTGATGCTAAAGTTGTAAACCTTGTCACATATGTTGTGGTTGATGATTTGAATAATATATTTGAAGTATTAGTAGATACCTTAAGAAATATAAAAGTTATAGTGAAAAGGACATTAATGCATAAACCATATCAGCAATCTAGACGCAATTCCCGACGCTGGATGAACAGTGCAGCTATATTCCGTAAATGACGTGCATTATCACCATACTTCCATCTATCCATATTTCAAGTTCTATAAAAATATTTTCAGTATTCTTTTGCGTAATCAGGGAATCCAGGTATTGTGGATGGACGAAAGGACAGAAAGACAGACGGGAGGCAAACCTAAATCCCCTCTGACAAAACCGGTAGAGAACAAAAAAAAACGAATTTCAATTTAGACAATTTATTCCAGATACAAGCTATGATTCCAGTGTGGACTGTTCTAAATGCTTTCACTTTATGTGGTCGCTAAAATACTGCATACTAATACTAATTGTTCAGTTGACACTAATTGCGAATGTTGTTGAAAAGTCTGCTCGTGCATACGTTCCCTAGACCTTGCTGTTTCTGTAGGGTTTACGTCTTCATTTTCTTGTCCTTGCTTATTCTGTTTCCAGTCTTTTCCTTCACACAATAGATGGCTGCTATAAGAATGAGAATGCCAAAGACGATGCCGACAATTGCACCTATTGACAATCTGCTACTACTTTCGTCTGTTATAGCTAAATTAAATGGAAAATCGGTTTGAAATTAAATCTATATTTCGTTATTTGAATTACACACAATAAATATGAAAAAGATGATTTTTGAAGCTTTGTGTAACATTGATGATGTATGTTTAGTATCATAACGTCTAGGATATTGTTGACGAATAAAGGAGAACAGGCGTGATTTTAATATTTATCAATATTATACATTTTTCTAACTTCTAATCTAAAAAGTGTGTTATTATTTTCATAATTTTAAAGGATGTGAGAATTATAATAAAACGCTACTTACGACATAATCCTGCATTAAAAGAGAATAAGAAATATTGTGAATGCATTTTGCGAGACATCGTTACATATTTAATTAATTTCCTCAAGATCCAACTTAAATAATTAGCATCTTAAATAATGATGAGAAATAACGTTTTCAAGACATCATAACATGTCATATTATCTTTTATCATTTTTTTTTTCAAAAATCCAATTAAAAAAAACAACTTTAACAAATGTGAACTAATTCAATTAATTTATGATTTCCTTATTTAACTTAAATGGACCATTTATATTTTGTGCCTGCGATTTATACATTCCATACGTTAAGCCGTTGCTAGTTTGAATGCATTTACAACATTCACAAATCCCACTCAGTTGGCATTAGTTCCAATGTTTATTGTATATTCTTTCAGTTATTTATTTTACCGGTATCTATTTTAATACCTTTTTTAATACCTATTAGGAGTCAGCTCTGCAAGAACTTTTTAATCACTATATGTTTAGAATAATTTACTTGTACACAACGATTTTGATAAAATTAACTATTACTTCTTGGTGTAAGCTGCAAGTTCAGCCCATCAGGGTTTTTTTGAGTTGATCGGTTGGTGTCTGGCCCTTTTTACAACTGCCAGGAGTTTGTGAGACTGTTAAACTTCCATTAGATGCCATAGAGGATACCTTTATAAGAGTATGAGTAATTATCATGATAAGATTATAGAAGTGTATATGATTCTTTTTAAGCTTATACCTTCATAGATATTTTCTTTTTGCGCGTTGTATTTCAAATCATGACAATTTAAAAGTTATAAAAGAAATTTGAACATAAGTTGAAACATACGCAGGAAAATGAATATTTCTGATTCACGAATCACCAAAAGTACTCGCATGATTAATAAATCATCAAAATGACATTTATGATTAATGAATCGCTACTATAACTTCTATGTCGATTTTATTATTGAATTGTTTGCAGGCTATCTTAAATACTTACAGTTGGAATAAGAAAAACAAAAATGTAAGATAATATCACTAATGTTCAGGTGCATTGGTTACATTATTTACAGGCCGATGGTCATTAAATGTATTGAGTTTTATTTATGTAATTAATATATGAAATAACATGATTTAATTCAAACAAAGAGCGATTTAAGTATTTCATTAAAAGCTTTCCTCCGCGAGAAAGTCATCCTCGTGGAAAAGGCGGAATATTATATCCACAAATACAGTACGCCGATAATAGACTATACACAGAAGATCCTGACGCTATTAAATCTCCGACAAAAAGGTATTTATCAGATACAGAATACATATTTATGAAAAGATTTACAATCGTACAGTCACTTACCATACATGTAAATCTATGTGTGCCACCTGAAGGGTTCACAGTATTATCTTCATTATACACTGTGTGGTATGTGTAACTACCAGATGTCAAACTGAACACACAAAACACACTTCCATGCTCTTGAAATGAAATTACAAACAAGTAATTACTGAAAGAATTATCAAACAATGTTATGATAAAAATTTAAAAGCATTTTCCCCTCACCGCCGAGGGTAAGAAAAAAAGACAAAAACTTTTGATTCATTCATGTTAGATATCTAACCAGCTAGTTAATCAGAATGCCGGTTGTTTTGCTCAGGTTCCCGCTCGAGCATTAAAACAAAACGGGAGGGACACACCAGGTCTTCATTAAGTGTCACAATTTCACCTTTACAGT